AATCTATCAAACATCATCTCAGTCATCACTCTCTTTGATCATGTCACCTTTCACGCAATCCATCTCTTTCTAGGTCTACCTCTACCGATGTACCCTTCCACACTCAAACTAACGTTGTAACATGCGATTCATCCATCCCATCGACGCTCTTATCTCATCGAAATAATACAGGAGTATACAGTAAAGTTTACTGAAGTTAAAGGTATTAATTTACAGATATACATATGTTAAGGCAGATTGCGTGCTTCGCTTAAATCAAACCTAAATTAATATTTTAAACAATTTTAGGTCATTCAGATCTCCTAACGGTATACAACAGTTATTGATTAAAGATGCTTGAAAATAATAAAGGCAATATTTTAAATTGTTTTTTAATAATATAAATCACTGGTTTAAATCATACGCTTCGATACATTTTTTAAATTCTCTGTAGCTATACATTTTTATATTACGAAGGCAGAAAGATTACCTGGTCTTTACATGACATTTTTATTGTTTTTTGGACCGAAGATAGGACAAATAGAAATAATAATAGTCCGTTTTGTTAATTACTATTTTTTTAGTTAAAATACCCTTGCCATCCTTTTTAATGGGAAAAGATGTGAAGGGGAGAGGACAATAATCGTTAAAATTCATTTTTTAGTTATTTTTTTTTTTAGTTTTTATTGACAGTAAGATTTTTAAGACTTGTTTAAAGAAAAACTTTGAGATACTAACAATACAATCTCATTAAAATTGCAGATAAGTAATTTAAAATCTGAAAAAGGACAAACAAAGTAATTACAAAAGACCGTATCCCGGAATCGAGTCCCGAAGGAGTCAAGGCTCCGGCGCTGACCGATGACCGTGTGCTGTGTACAGTCAAGTCATAAATCAAACTCTGTACATGTAACGTGAAGGCACACCTTGACTTTGAACCTGGACAGTCATGCACGAAGGTATTATTAAAACTGTTCTTTTGTTTTTTAATTTAATTTTTATGAAATAAATTATATACAAGATTAATGTGGACCTGTCACACTAATTTACCTCAAGATTTTTTTTGACATTTGTATTATAAATTTTATTGCTTAAATCTATGAATGTTTGTATAAAAATGTTACAAAATAAATATGTACGTTCTATTTTTTATTTTAATTGCAAAATCATTAATTACTGTCAAAATTAATTTGAAGGTAAAACAATAAGAATTAAAAAAAAAAACATTTGTAACGTGTCCACTTTTATCCACGACAGTACTCTGTTGAATGTTTTCGAAGAAACAAAAGTAAGGATCAAGTAATTTGCGTGTCTGTGTTTGAGCCCGCGCCCCCAAAATGAACATACGTTACTTCACTTCATACTTGATCAATTTAATATGCGATCCTTTGGGTAAAGGTTGAACCATACTAACTGAAAACGCAGCGTTTAATCGCGTTGCGTTTGTTTTGACAGAGTTACTAGAAATACAATGTTTGGTTCTCTGTCTTTAAGTACACTTTACTAGTAATATTTTGTTTTGAACCTTTAAGAGTGGGCGCACACTTTTGACGAAACTAATGCACTGTTTTGCGATTGTCGATTGTTTCACAGGCAATTCAACTGTTTAGTTGAAAACTAGAGATCGAGGAGGAATTTCAGCGCGACTAAACAGTTGTGCGATAATTACGTCACAGGTGTTCGCCCGCTCTAATAAAATTCTATCGATAAGGACGTTTCTTATCAGGGTCATAATGATGAGTATAACATATTATTTAAACAATACTCTACACAGGACTACAATATCTATTGTAATTTGCAACAAATAGAAATAATAAATTCATGACCTTAATACTTGAACACAATGTCTTTTACGATAATGAAACAAAATAGTTCCGCTAAATTCTTTTCTCTGAAGGTTTTATAACAGTTTAAAACACTTTGTGTATTTTTATTTATTAAACTTGCTTTGTATCGTAAACAATTAACGCAGGAATCTGAATCTAATCAAGGTTTACTAAGATTGCGTAGCTGGTTGTGTGAGTGCATCCTAATTTCAAGTTAACGGACAACATTCGGCGTTTAATTTATCGTCGGGCGTCGGTTCAGCGAAGCGCGAGTCAGACACGCACGACTTTTTATTTTGTCATTGCATAAAAGAGATGCATCTTATATGAAAGCTAAATTTATCCGTTATCGTATTTGTTGGTATTATTTATAGAAGTCTGTTGCTAAGAGAGAATTTTCCGAGAAAGGAATATTCGAGAAAAGAGTGATGGCTGTGCTCGCTTCGGCGGGTGCACTGCCGCTCAGTGATTCTTCATAATTCTTTCCTTTAGATGTCGATCATTATCATAATGTAATGTTTTGATTTACCCTGAAGGTTAATGTTTATCAACGATACGTGTATTCTTTAATTTAACCGTAAAGAAACAAGACGCAATATGTACAATCAGCTGCGTAAATTTGTATAAAACAAAGCTTCAGCAACTTGTATCCGGCTTGGGTTTTAATATGAATGCATATTCATCAAATGCTTCCGTGAATATGTATTGAATCCGAAGTCCTGTAGGGGTTTTCAGAGGAGGTCACTTTTGTTTATTTATTTATGTAGCCGACTGTACCATTTCTTTCATATTAGTATTAACTAGCTGTTCCCGTGCGGCTAATTCCGCATAGAATTATAAAAAAAATGTTTCATAGTTTACATTTGTCAAATTATCAATAGCAAATGTCAAAATGAGCTGACATGACAAACCTTGGCAATCTTGCTTCCTTGATGTTGGTAACAACTTGTGGTCTCTTTCCCACATAAGGGTTTTTATCCAAAATATTATCCCCCTATGTTTAATGACGCGAAAATATATAGCCTAAAGCATGACGTAAGTGTAGGGGTTTTATTAGAAAAAGGTATATTCAAAAATATGCTATAATTGCTGACATCTTAGGCAACAAAGAAGTGTGTGTTTACGCTATATTATAATAGTATAGATATAGTATATATATATAGAAGTATAGATATAGTAGATAGGGTATAGATGAAAAGTAGATATAATTTGTTAATTACCTTTTTAAAGTTACAATGTGAGCCGTATAACTTTTGTAGGATATTTAATTTTCTTTTAATTTTACGTGACGACACAAGTTGTCTTCGATACCACGTGTGTCAACTCGGTTTGTTTGCCATTCAATAAATGATATTACAAAGAAATTACGCAAAGCTTTTAATGGCAATCTATCAACTCGTGGTGCTATCGATTTAGTGTCTTGTACAAATATTTTAACACTTTGATAGTCCTAAAACTAGAATCCTGGATGAGGGAAAAAAATAATCAACTATTCTGTTAACATTTCTAGAGGTCTGAATTAATTTTACGAGAACACACTGTAGAGGTCCTTCCCTTGCTTACATTGTTCAAAATATAAATTCATCTCTGTTTTACCTAGAGAGTGAAAGAGAGTGATGTGTTGGCTTTGAGAGTCTTTATATTGGATAGTGTTATATCTAATGTTCATGGACTTAACAATATTCCGAGATCAATATTGACGTATGTTATAAATAATTGAAAAGTTCATCAGAAGCCTTACGTCTAGAAAATTGACTCAAGGAAAATATACCATTGCAATTATTACATAAACAGTAATTAAATGATAAACGGAATTATGAGAATAACAAGGCATTAAGTAATCAATTTAGGATATTTACCTTGTATACGCATTGCTCAATATCTGATAGAATAGATTTGTATTATTGTATGTAACTATTAAACTCAAAAACTACTAAACCAAATTAAAAAAAAATATGTCAGTATAAAGGTAAATTACCTCTAAGACGGGTTTTTTTCATTTGCATTTTGCATTTTTTTCATTTGCATCCACGGATTTTTTTTTAAATGGGTTGTCACTGTTTGCCTTGAAGAGGTATTTACAGATTCACCGGGCTTGAGGTGGCCGAGCGCAGATGGCGCTTAGCCTAAACCTCTTTTATGAGTAACTAGACTCGAGGGCTCCCTCAGGAGCCTAGGCTCGGGCCGTTACTTCGTTAATAATAACAATCCGGTAATAATACCGGATTGGGTCCACGGAGTACCTAGAAAAATGTATGTCATCATACTAATATTGTAACCATTTACAATTATACAAAAGTTTAGATGGATGGATGTTTGTTAGAGTTTGTAGCCTAAACGGCTGAACGGATTTCGATGAAATTTGGTGTAGATGTAGAGGATATTCTGGAAGAACACATAGGATACTCACTTTCGTTTTTTTTTAACTCCACGCGGACGGAGTCGCGGACGAAATCTAGCGCTGTATATTGCTGTTGCAGTTGCATAGCTTTTTGTCGTCTTATGTCCTTATTTGTGCTGGCAGTAAACTTGGAGAAACTTCAAGCAATTGCTCTAACGATCAATTACAGCGACATCTTGTATTAGTTAATAGTTATTATCGTTTTAAACATTTAATTGTTGCAGTTTACGAGAATTCTATTGTCTCTTTTCAGTTTTTATTATTTTTTTAGAAAACGTAAATTTATATAGCGAAATATTTATTAACTTGTAAGGCAAGATTTTGTTATTATATATCTATACTAATATTATAAAGAGGAATGATTTGTATTTTTGTATGTATTCGATTCGCGTAAAAACTACTGGGCCGATTTCAAAAATTCTTTCACTATTATAAAGGTTATTTATCTGCTCACAGATACACATATCATAGGCTATATTATTTTATTATTTTCTTTATTTCACTCGGGTGAAATCGCGGGCAATAGTTAGTTTAACCCAAGCACGTAATTCAATATTTGGTAAACTTGAAACGTAAATTCTTGTAAGGAATAAATTTCTTAATAAAACAAATGAAAGTTTGTTGTAATTTTTTAA